ACCCCCCAAAGCAGGTGGTACCCAAGCCAGGATGCCCTGGATACAGCCACATCCAGCCCAGACCATTGCCTGTCAGTCACCCACTCTGTACAATAGGACACACTGCCCTCTACCCAAGCAGGTCTCCAGACCTCTAGAATATTCTAGAAATTGAATCCCTATCTTTTGAGCCAGGTGTATCCAGAGAGCCTTCCTTACCATCACCCTGGTCCCTGGTCACCAACCTCTGAGCCAAGCACACCTAGGACTCACAGCTGACCACCATAAGAAGTTGCTGTACTTCTGTGCCTCAGTTTCTCCAGAGAGAGTAAAACAGTCCCCCTAGAGACAGGTTCACCCACACCCTCAGCATAGGGGTTTTATTTGGAACAAGGGTCTCTGCAGATACAAAGTAAGGATCCAGAGATAAAACCACCCTGAATGAGGGGACCACTGGTACAAAGAGGCCTTTTTTATAGAGAGGGGCACAGGGTCTCATGGAGTCCTGGACAGTCTTGAACTTACTATGTAGCTGAAGAAGACCTTGAACTTTCATTAGTTTTTGTCTGTGGGGCATGGGAGAGGTGCAAACAGGCCCTGATGCATGTTTAGAAGTCAGAGGGCAACTCGCAGGAGTCAGTTTTCCCCTTCCACTATGTGGGTCCCGGGGATTGAACTCAAGCCCTCGGGTTTGATGGCAAGCCCCTTTATTGGCTGAACCACTTCACTGGCCCCAACTCTGAACTCCTGATGTTCCCTCCTCCACTTCCCAAGTACTGTGATTGCACAGTTCATGCCCAGGGTGTGCATTGCTGGCGTGGGCCCCCGGGCCTCAGGTGTACTAGACAAGTGCTCCACCGTCGGAGCCGCATCCCAGCCGATGTCGGACAGAAGCAGCAGCCACTGTAATGGGAGGGAGGAAGCCCTAAGCGAGGGGTAGATGCATGGCTCAGTAGTAGAATATTTGCCTAGAGTCCCCCAGTGAGGCGTTCGGGTATGGCTCAGTGGTACAGTAGATGCCACCAAACTGTGCACTTCATTATCCATTTATTATTTTATTTTATATATAATTTTGAGATAGGGTTATCATTCTGGACTCACTGTGTAACCCAGGTTGACCTCAAACTTGCAGCAACCCTCCTGCCTCAGCTTCCCAAGTATTGAGATTACAGGTATGAGTCACCATGCCCAGCTGAACTGGTAAACCTTAAATGGATGGATTCTGTGGCATGTAGATCATATCTCGATAAAGCTGTTTTAAAATACTTGCAGGTCAGATGTGGTGGCACACACCTTTAAACTTGGCACTCGGGAGGCAGAGGCTGCCAGACCTCCGAGTTCAACGCTAGCCTGGTCTACATAGTGAGTCCAGGCCAGCCAGGGCTACACAGCAAAACCCTACAAGGCAGAGAAGGAGTGGTGTGGTCACAGGCAACTAACGGGGAGGAAGGAGCCTTCTCAGAGCCTCTGGAGCAGAGATTCTCAACGTGTGGGTCGCGACCCCTTGGGGGGTCACATATCAGATATCCTGCATATCAGAGATTTACATTATGACTCAAACCAGCAGCAAAATTACAGTGATGACGTAGCAATGAAATAATTTTGTGGTTGGGAGTCAACACACGAGGAGCCGTATTAAAGGTTGAGGAAGGCTGAGAACCACCGCAGAGGACTCACAGTGTACCCCACCATCTTGGACTTTTCTGGCTCCAGAAGTGAAAATGCATGTGAGCCGTTGTAAACCAACCAGTGACAGGAGCTCATCCGATTCGGGAAACAGGAAACTGCTTCTCACAGTGCTGGAAGGATTAGAGGAAGCGAGCAATGTTCTTGGCACAGTCATATTCCTCGGCTGGGCAGCCCTTGGTTTAGCAGACACAGTGTGTGCCAGGTGCTGGGCTGCGGGGCGGGCGCCGGGCTGCGGGGCGGGCGCCGGGCTGCGGGGCGGG